CTTTTTCGAAGAAATTCCTGAACTGGTGCACATTCGTGCAATAAGTTAAAGTGAAACAAAATATATTTGTCTCATTCTAACTTAATTGCATTACTGATGTGCACCAGTTCAGGAAGTTCTTCAAAACGGAACACACGTATAAATGTTCTTTCAATGGCCACCTTCAGCAGAATGTTTATTTTGCAACTGTTGGAAGTTTTCTAAGCTCAGATTTGTCCGATGACAAATAGATTTTAAGACCGATAGGAGAAAATTAATTTATGTAAATAAGTGGATATATACGTGGATGGATAAAATAATTTATTTTATTAATGTTTCAAAAAAGGCTATTAAAGCTATTATATATACAGATAAAGCAAATTATAATTTTGAAAGGAAAAATTTAACAAATAGGTATTTTTGTTAACTGTAGAAACGTAAAAAATATGTTTCTATGGTTTCAAAAACATTTTTGTTCAAACATTTCTTAATGGTTCTTTACGGTTATGAAACTATGTATACGTTCAAGAAACGTATATATGAAACTAATATGTGCTACCTGGGCAGTGGTGCACTTCATTGTTTAATAACAAGTACCAAAAAGTAAGGATAAAAGCGAACACAAGACACGTTAATGTTATTTATTTACTACTTATTTTGACGATTATTCGAGTGTACGACGCAGAAAAAAAATAATTAGATGCACATACACATAATACACGAACGACGCAGTTTAAAACTGACCCGCTGTTCAGAAATCGGGAGGCTCGCTGTTAAAAAAGCGCACAGTGCAGTAATTGTTCGAACGCTCGACTTGTAACGCATGATGTAATACTTGAGAGATGAAGTGAATAATAATTGTTCATTAATAAAAAAAATATTGCGCCGGACGGTCGATAGATCGTTCCATTCTACTTATTTTTCTGACTCCAATTTCCGGCTTCTTCGTCCGATGATGATGGGCGGACGTGTCACAAAATGACTCATTTTTACATATACTATGCGAGGATAAAATTACAGAATTTGTTTCTTTTCTTCTTTCTTTCTGAAATTGTCGATTCGATGTTAGAACAAGCGATAAACGCGTCTTGAATATACAGCGCGCGGTCTTGAATGTTAATGGTCATGATAATGCCACGTTATCAGTGTGCTAATACCATAGAGATATAAGA